CATGAATTATAATCAGACGGTTTTGAGGGTGATAGAAGTAGAGGGGTCATAAATGTCTGCCGAGAGTATCGAATCCCTTTCGTCTCGATCTTCGTCAACTACGAGAAAACCTCTGAAGCGTCGAAACCGACGCCATCCCGTCTGCGCTAGTCGATCAAGGAAAGGACCCAGCTTACGCGAGGACGTCAGTCGACTGCTATAAGGAGTGTACAACGACCATGAGGCTATTCTATCGTGCCCTGACCATCAATTTGGAAAAGGGGTCCGACAAAGCGATACAACCTTGCAAAAGCTGTTCACCGCGGTCTTGCAGTGGGTAATGAGATCACTGGTCTGGGACGAGAGAGCACAAGAGTTACTGGGAAATTCTTGTCGAACCTTTGTTTTGCGGACGACATCGTTCTCTTTTGGAGTATTATCACTGAAGCAGAGACGATGCTGAAGGAACTAAACGAAGTGGGGAAGAAGTCGGTTTGCGGATAATTTGGAGAAGACCCAGTTGATAAAGAATGCCCTTTGCAAAGATGCAGAAATGGAGTAAGACACCCCTAATATGGAGAACGTCTTCTTGCGTGTATCTCGTACGCTCGCTGAACATGGAGACCAATTGACGGACCCGGAGCTTCGTGCACTCGACACAACCGGTATTCCCGCGCTCTGTTACGCAGCTGAGACTTGGGCTGACACCGTAGTCTAGTCGAAAGCTCTAAGGACCGCTCACAGAGCGTTATAGCGTCGTCTTCTGGAGACGACCCAACACAAACAACATCGACTTCGCAGTACGAATAGGAGAAAAATGTCCCGTTTTCGTGACCCAGAGAATACGTTGCGAAAGCAAAACACCGATGGGCCGATCACATCATGAGAAGAACGGACGACAGATGGACATTAAGAAGAACATCTGCGTGGATTCCTCGCGAAGCCAAACGTCCTCGAGGAAGACCATCAACGAAATGGGCAGACGTGTTCGTGGAACGAATGGACCAGCTGAGGAATCAGTTGGATACGATTATCGCACCTGGAATTCGTGGACGCAGCCACCGACGTCAGCCAGGAAGATCGTGGATATCTGAAGCGAGGGAAAGGGATAAATGGAAACTCTTGTGCTGGGCCCGCACGCCACATGAAGATGGGTCATCTATGTATCTAAATAAGTAAGTAGGTAAAACTCAGCAGACTTTACCTATTTTACTAAGTAAATTTTGTTGTAACGTAATGCGAAGAAAGTAGGTCGATCTAGGCCATAACCGCCGAGAACTAGAATTTTTAACGAAAAAACAATGAAAAATTATGAGAAATTTTCACTGTTATAAATCTGGTGGTTGAATATGTTAGCAGCTGCGACTTCACAGATTTTGAAGGGTAAATGTTGTTTTATCAGAGATCTAAAGAACTAGGTAGACTTGAGTTATGGCTGCCCAGAACGAGAATTTCAAAAATTATGCGATTTTATGTTGCTTAGTGACAGCTGATAATTTGAACTCCAATAAATCTGGAATGTGAAGGTAGCGATTTCGCAATTTCATAGGTTTTGTAGAGTAAGGAATGCACTATCAGAATGTTTTCTAGCCGTACCGATCCACTGAGATACCGCTGAGATTCAGGCTCTTAAAAAAACCAAAGCATCGATGGGCCGCGCACATCATGAAAAGAACAAACTACGAATGGACACTAAGACATCAGAGTGGATTTTATGAAGCAAAACGTCCATGAGGAAACCTCCAACGAGATGAACTGTCGTGTGCCGTGGAGCGGATGAACCACCCGAGAAATCAGGTGGATAAGATTTCCGCATCTGGAACTCTTAAACGCAGCCACCGACGTCAACCAAGAAGATCGCGGATGTCTGAAGCGAGGGATAGAGAAAAATGGAAACTCATGTGGCGGGGCCCACGCGTCATGTGAACCCGGGCCATTTGATTTAAGTATCTAAGTATGCAAATATAAACAATATGAGGGACACTGTAAGACAAGAGCATAAGTTGTGACCAAATATGAGTCAACTGTATCCAAGTAGTATGGTCGAAATGTGGTTAAAGACAGTACCGGGCCAATCCCGTAGTTAGTGAGCGACTTGCATCAGCTTGCAGTATTCTGCACGAAGACTCAACACAAAGTGTCGGGTCCTGATGTAATAGCATAAAGCCGATGCAAGTGGTCCTCCTCCAGATACGGTAGCGGGTCTAGCCTGGAGACAAATATCACAGCCGCGAGTACAGCACCTGTGCTGCCGCTTGGGCAGTGCCTTAATTAAGGCCCCAAATCAATGAGCCCAAGTATAGTCGATTCGTTGACCGCACGGAATGGACATTGCTACGGAGCACGCCCCGCGAGGTGAAACCCTTGCCCCAACACAAATTCGCCATTGCAAAAGTCGTGCTATCGCAGCATTTCAGCAGTGCCTCGCATGGCCCGCAGCGTTTGAGCAGTTCTTGTGGATCGACGGTATTTAGGTTTGCCTCAGCATTGGTTTCGATGTTTCAACTTCCGATATAAAGCACTAATTCTTGGCCCAGATAAGAATTATACAGCAAATAACCGCCAGACAATGGAATTATAACCAGAACCAAAACCTCGTGTAATTCATGCTCGCCTTGCAGTGGTTGTGCCCCGACAAACATTACCAGATTTAAGCAAAAAATCAGGCATAAGCTTTTCACGCCTCCTTCACTCTAAATTCTTCCAGGCTCACCTTTTTGATTCGAAAAACCTGACAAAAAACTAATCAAAAATTTAGATCGATGTCTTGTAGCCAACGCCGGAAAGACGCAAAGGTATGCACGCGACGAAATGGTACCGTAAACCGAGCAATAAGAATATCCTAATTCATTTTTAGTCCGCTCATCCACCTTGGACAAAAAGAGCTGTTATCAAAAATATGTTCCGAACAGCTTCGCATGTGTGTAGTGGAGAGCAAGAAAGAAAAGAATCACTCGAGCTTGCGCGTTGCATAGCTTCTTCGAATGGGTACGGGAACTTTACAGGTACATCGAAACACGGAAGAAGTCTGCGAGACCAACCCAATAACGAAATGATTCCTTTTTACGTCCCGTTTATCTCCACTGAGATAAGTACAGCAATGCGCAGGAGCCTTAAGAAAGTAGGATTAGTTGATTTGGTGTCGATTGTAGAAGTGCCACCGAACAGCCTGAAGCGCATTTTAGTAAGAAATCGCATGTATGACACCAGCTGTACTACGGACAATTGTATCATATGCCCAGTTGGTAAAAGCGGAGACTGCATGTCAACTGGGGTGGTCTACTCCAATTCCTGTACCGTCTGCGGAGACGAGTATGTAGGTGAAACCGCACGTCCCCTATGTATTCGTGTAAAAGAACATCTAGATGGCCGGGATAAGCAACGAACTTCCACTCCGTTAGGAACACACAGGGTATTAAGGCATGAAGGATCGAGTTTTGGAGTAACAGTCAAAATATTAGCACGTGAACCAAAAACGGCTGCTCGCAAATTTCTAGAAGCATTGTGGATTCATGCTAGGAACCCACAAATTAACCGAAAAGAATGCCTCGCAATCACGAGAGAACTATCTCCTTATCTGAGCCAACTATGCTGACGTTCCATTAAATACTTCCATATACGGTCAGCCCAGCGGTCGTTCTACCAAGGAATTGTTTGAGTGGTAAGTGGCTGTTGCAAACTGCTGGCCAAAATCAAGGCTTAGACCTTTTTCGTAGAGCCGTAAAGACATTTGCCCGTCTGGGTTACGAATCGATACCCCATTCAGGCTCTGACGAAGGCGAGAAGCCGAAACGTTAGCCAATAAAGTTTGTAACAATCCCGGCGTTGGCTACAAGACATCGATCTAAATTTATCAACTATGCCGAGATTTATCGAGAGTCGTACATGCTAATCAAAAATTTTTCATTTTCTCCAATTTAGTTCGTTTGACGCAGTTTTTTCGTGCAGTTGAAACATGCGTTTTTGTCTAAAGTGTAGACGTTACTGTGCTTTTTATTGACCTAACCAGGTTTCCAAGAAAGTTGAAAACTTCTTGTTCATAGAGTTTTTTGGAAAGATCTTGCAACATTTTTCCGCTCTTGGGTAGTCTTGCTCTGATGAACAGAACAACGCAAACCCCGGAAACATAAACCACTAACGGAAGTATATACTTTGAGGACACAATGAATTTCAAGCTGCCGTTTATGTGCAAGTTTCCTTTTAAGAAAACTTTGAAGCAGTCGCTACTTCGAAGCGTCTATATTGGCTCAGTTTGAGTTTCCTAAGTTTGAAGACATCAAACAAAAATTCTCGCGCTACAGTGTTTCCTGACCACAAACCTGCTAGTGGGCAACAAGAGACGTTCGCCGTTATTGTACAAAACAAATCATTGGCCCCTCCTGCTAAAAGATGAAACTTTGAAGGGGTTCTACATCATTCAAGTTGAATCTTAACATCGGAAAGAACTCCAGAAAAGCTGGAAATTTTGTCACTATGTGATTCAAAAAAAGCTCAGCTCAAAAGTTAGATTCCACATGATCTGAACCTTTGTTCAAATCTACGCCAGGTAAATCCGAAAGCAGTACTCCAAGAATGCTTTGTGAACCTCACGCCATTTAAACAGTTTGAGAAATCCATATAAAGTTATTTGCTGGAATCAACACCTTGAAACACAATGAAAGATCTATTGGGAATCTAAGAATCGCAATTGATTCGCAAAAATTTTATCAATGCAAATTGAAGTTAGCGCACAGAGTGGTATTTGAATGACGAGAGACTTCAGGAACGAAGGTTGTTTTGAATTCCAGTAAAAACATCTTTGGGAAGCTTTGTACCACGCTGACAAGTGCGGCTAGCCGCTGTAGTTTACTCTTACGAGCATAGAGGCGCTACTTGAAACATTGTTGTGAATAGGCTTGGAAGTCAAGAAATATTTGATAGACTCACCTTTGAGCTCCTTTATACGTAATTTGTAAGGATTACTTCCGTATTAATTGTTTTCCATTTCAGCAACTCTCGAAGTGTTCACTACCACAACTACTATGACTACTGTAGCAGCAACATCTTTCACAAAACAACAAACAACAAAACAACAAACAACAAGCAACAAACATCTTTCACAATCTGGAACACCATATAAAACTATATGTACGCTCTTTTTGCTTTACACAAACAGCTCATCTGAATAAGCATACTTAAGCAGCAACTGGGGATGGTGGCTACACTGAGATGTATATTGGTGATGATGGAAAACAGGTAGAACCAAAAGAACGCAGCATGTATGTTTTTTTCTTGCTTTGGTTTTACCTCAAAAATATTTACTTTCAGCGTATCTCTCCTGATTGTAGTAGGACCACTAGTTGTCGTAAAGCTCTTACTGCTCATATTACTCGTTCTCACTATAGGAAAGTTGAGAGCAATTAGAAAACGCCATACGTCTCCTGAAGCACTTCCTAACGCCGAGAAAAAAGAACAGAGCAAAGACAGCTCATTGGCGACAACAGGGGCAACCACTCTAGATTTGTGGATCAGCCCAACTGCGAAGAGTACTACACGATCAAAAGAGTCTGTATGAAATACGTAATGCTAATTGATAATGCTCATTAACTGCCACTGTCACATTACAATATTTGTGAATGCATTAAATCATTGTTGAAATGTGCTTGCACACACTGAAAACTTTATGTATGATGTATTGTTAGCAGGGTCAAGCGTGGGGTGCGGCACGCCGCACCTGGGGGGTCGTATTGAGGAGTCGAAAGGGGAGGGGGTCGTAGTTGGGTAATCTGATAATAGTCATAACATGATATTCGTATCCTATCCATGATTAGCATGTTAAATAACCCCTGTAGACAAAGTGTGAGCGATTTCTGAAGGTTCAAAATACTAGGCTACCTAAGTGAAATGGTCAAATTCCAACATGGTTAACTTTGTTTCAAAGGTGAATTAGTTATCCGTTTTTGCACTCAAGACAAAGCACTACTCCTTCTTTGTCCATTTCAGGAATCCTGCTTCAGAAGACCTCCAAACTGTGGAATTAGAAGCCAACCAAAATCTCGTTTTTCCCATTTTTCGCTTTTGATCGCTGTGCTTTCACCAAATATTATTTGGAGCTAAGAAGACGAATCAGGCTCAAAATAGTCCTATGGAATCTACAAGGTTTAGGCTATCGATTCATATAAATAGTGTCCGCTAAAAATGTTTTTTGATATAGTTAATGGCCTGCGGCCCCTCCCCCCTCAAAACCTGCGGCTGCCGCAGGTTTTGAGGGGGGGGGGGGGTGCCGCAGGCCATTAACTATATCAAGAAACAATTTTAGCGGACAGTATTTATATGAATCGATAGCCTAGATCTCCTAGTTTTCAAAGGAGTAATTTTAGCCTAATTCGTTTTCTTTGCTCTGAGTAATAGTTGGTGAAAGCACAGCCATTAAAAGCGAATAATGGGAAAAACGAGATTTTGGTTGGCTTCTAATTCCACAGTTTGGAGGTCTTCTAAAGCAGGATTCCTGAAATGGACAAAGAAGGAGTAGTGCTTTGTCTTGAGTGCAAAAACGGATAGCTAGTTCACCTTTAAAACAATGTTAAACATGTTGAAAAATAACCATTTCACTTAGGTAGTCTAGTATGTTGAATCTTCAGAATCCGCTCACACTTTATCTACAGGGGTTATTCGACATGCTCATTATGGATATGTTGCCCATTATGTTTAACAGGGCCTTCAAGTAATGCTATCTTAAGTGTATAGTTTAGGGGGGGGTCTTATTAAGACAGCAATCAGGGGGTGGGGGGTCGTAACCAGCGATCGTGTGCCACACCCCTTGCCTGACCCTGATTGTTAGTAACTGGCACGTAACCCTCGAGTCACCACATTCCGAGCTAGGCTCTGTTTGCACATCCGGTTTTCATCCCGAGTCAAACTTGATGTCTGCCTGAACATATCTTATGGGGGAACCAAATATTGAAATATTTTTGTGCAATATCACAGTTTTTCTTTCTCCTTCCCGGTCAAGCTATTCAACCTGGTCACTGACAGAGTTTTTCTCCTACTAAGAAAACTGTGGAGAAAAATTGTTTTGGCGGAATAGTCAAATTCAGCTGTGCCTCAGGATTGAGGTCAAAACAAGATTGTCCGGTTAGCAAAAACTCGCACTGTCTCGCTTGCTCTACAAGAGATATTAAAGGGTTGAAACAGAGTGACGGGAGCCCAGCTTCAGATAGCTCCGGTTGCACTTGTTTTATATCATTGTTTTCAAAAAAATATGCACTTGTATGAATTTAGTTTCATTTTGCTGAATCTGTTTGATAACGCAAACAACTTTGAACAATTTGTGTATTGATTTGTTCCCATGTTGAATCTACTAGAGCCCATATTTGAAGATAGGCAAGAGCTTGCAACGTCTTCACAAAGTTGCTTTCTTTTCAGACAAGAGACAGTTTCTCGTTTAAACTTTTTGACACTAAAGCACTGATTCAAACGAGACCTACAAATCAGCACATAAGCGCTACCTGGCAATTACTTTTACTTGGGATACACCTCAGAATGGTTCTGCTCGCTTTGACGTGTTTGAATAAAGTTACCCGAAACATTAAATAAAATCGAAAACAATCAGTTTCTCTTTTCATGGAAATAGAGCCTGATGTATTCGAAGCCATTGACGAGCCTTATGGAGATTATTATGCTTGTGTGCATTGCAGTTGATCTTCTTATACAGGGTGTCCAAAAAATGTGCTTACTATTTGATCGTTAATAATTCTCTCGTAATGAAGTCTTTCGAGGAACCTCAGGTACGATCTCGTACAGCTGGCTTCAACTTAGATTTATGGTATGGAGCGGATTACCGGGCGACGGCCCTTCTGAACCCACCGTCTACTACAATAACCCCGCAAGTAGGACGCGGGCGCCTGCGCTGCGGCCATTAGCTCTATCAAATCGTACTCAACATTCTATCAAATCGTACTCAACATTCTATCAAATCGTACTCAACTTCTATCAAATCGTACTCAACAAGTCATAGTCAATAAATCCTTGTCTTCTACGTATCAAACAAGCAGCGGAGTTCCTCAAGGGACCTGCTTAGGGCCTCTCATGTTTTTGCTGTACATAAATGATCTACCATTAGCTCTTCCTGATGGTATCACCTGTTCTATTTATGCAGATGATACCAAACTATACTGCTGCAATTCCCCTCGGCTGATGCAAAAAGCTTTAGATGCGGTGGTAGAATGGTCTGAGAAGTGGGACCTTGACATTTCAGTCGAGAAAACACATATCATGCTTATTGGAGCTAAACATCCACGACCGTGCACTTATTACATAGGAGGTCAAAAGATTCGAGTGACAAACTCCATAAAAGACCTTGGCATTACCTATTCTGACAACCTCAACTTTGACGACTATATAAATGAAATTACAAGAAATGCCCATGCTCGATGTAACTACATATTACGTGCCTTTAGAACGACGAAAATCCAAACTCTCTTCAAGCTTTTTGTCATTTACGTCCGTCCTATGCTAGAATACTGTACACCTTTGTGGTCTCCAACTAAGAGAAATGCAATTGATGCCTTAGAAAGAGTGCAGAAGTCATTCACTGCACGAATATTTGCAAGAGCTGGGCATTTCCATGTGTCATACAAATCAAGACTTTCTATACTTGCCACTACCTCTTTGAGACTCAGAAGAACAATTTATGATCAAAATCTCGTCTACAAGATTATGAATAAAAGAATCTATCTCACGATGCACGATTTTTTCGTACTATCCAACTTTAATGCTATAACTAGAGGACATAACTTCAGGTTTATCATAGGAAAGGTGCAAACACAGCAATTTCATGACTCTTTTCCGATACGCATAATCAACACATGGAACAAGCTTCCAGTAACGGCGATTAAAGCTTCATCGACATTTGTGTTTAACAGAGAAGTTCAAAAAACCTTGAAATCTAAAGGATTCTTCTAACAACATTTTTTTACAGAACGGTGTAAAAAACGCTTTATTGGATCACTATTACTGACCTTCGGCCAGCTATTTCAAAACGCCAAAATTACCATTCAGCACCTCTGTATTTTTTATCTATGTATTCTTCTCCTCTGTGTATTTTTTTATTGATAGTTTATGTCTTTTTTGCACAAAAAAATTTTTGTTTATGGCGAATCATTTTCCTTATTGTCCTGATCCTGCCGCTTATTTGAAAAGAGATTCTTTTTTTGAGGGCTAAGTCAGCTAGCTTTTGCCCGCAAGCTCGCTGGCATTTAAACAATGGGATGCACATTACTTTTCAAAAGGCAGCAAGATTTTTTATGTCGGTTATTTGAGTCCAAACTGTACTTATGTTGTGTGATCTTTTTTTTTGGAATCGACTGTTTACGTAAATAAATAAATTGCGGACGAGTCTTCTGCGAACGCTTTACTCAGACATTCGCGGCTGACGACCGCCGGAGATCCGCCCACTTTCGGTTTGTTTCGGGACAAAGTTGTGTCCTGCCGTTGTCCCGACTACACCGGCAATTACGTCGGGATTATTGACGTGTATCAATAAAATCGATCGGCCTTGTGAGTCGTTCGGGTTTAACCGGACGTGCTTGACAAGTGCCGACAGGTATCGGAGGGACGCCATCATTCGCGATCAAGCTCATTTTCATTTCTGCATGCAGTAACGATAGCCGGCTTCTCCGTATTACGTATATCCTATAATTACCACTTGTAACACGTCGTTTTTTGGTTTTTGTTTCCTCAGTATTTCTAACGCAATTCACTACGTCTCATTCATCTCAACAGAATATGGTTTTCGGTTAGAACCTGTGTATAACCAAAGAAGAAGATGCTTGTCTATTGCTGAACTTCAGATTCCGTCCTTGATGCACTGAAATTGTCCGGCGATGAACTCCTTTTACCACCCGCAGATTGTGCTAGAATTCACGGAGGGAAGTTTTTACCATGTAAACGACAGAAGATATCTATTGCCGTTTCAGGTACTGGGCTGATTTGAACGAAACCGAGTCTCAAAGAAGAAAAAGGTTCGATGCGCTATCAGAAGCGCGAACAAACTGGAGTACGCATGCACGCGCGGCCATCTGCAGAGCATTGTAAGTTTTTCATGCTTTATCTCACTCTGGTCTCGCCCGGGTGGGTGTAAAAAATTCCTGTGGAGGGTGCTAACGTCCGCGTTTGTTTTCAGAGCCGACATTCGCCAATATGAATTCGATGCAGCACGCCTGACGCTCATGCCGCCCAAGGTAAGTTTCTCTATTCAGAGCTGGGATATCATTCGTTTTTTTTTCAATTTCAGAAAAAAAGAGTAATAACGACGCAAGAAGGGACGACAATCGAGAAAACGGAAGTCCGGGACTCATCTGAAGAAGATTGATTCCTTTTTTGTGGTTTTGCTCACAGATGTATGATTTTCTTGTTGCGATTCTGTTTTTGAGAGTAGATTTTTCTCTTTTTGCTCAGGAATGTATAATTTTGCTGCTGCGATTTTGTTGTTACGAGTTTTCTTATCATTTGTTATGGTTTTGTCTTTGAGTTAACCTGAGATGAATAAATCTCTGTCGATTCAGCCTCTGTTGT